TTTTTGTGCTTATTTTGGTTAGTTGCCAAGGCAACATTTCTTCTTTTTGTGTTTTTAAGTTTTTTATTTCAGCTTTATTTAAAATTTAAAAATTATTCATAGTGTTAGTTAATGATAACAACTATGATAGATATTTCATAATATAAAAATTAGAGTTTATTTCTTATTAGTTCTACAATTTAAGATTTATAAAAATATATAAAATCGTTATAAAGTATATATTATAAATAAGTGAAAGTTATAGTGTTATTTTAGTATTAATATACTATTATAATATTTATTAAAATTTGGAGAAATTATATACATAAAAATATATTCAAATAGGTTATATTAACAATTATATAAGTATGATATAAATATTGTTATTTTTTTTGTTTTCATTTTAATTGTAGAAATTGTGCTTTTGCCATTTAAAAAAAAAATAAATTTAGCTTTATTTTTATTTCAGTTTTAGTCATTTTAGTACTTATTTCAGTTAGTTGTCAAGGCAAGTTTTTTTTCATCCAATGTTTGTATTTTATTTCAGCTTTTTTCAGCTAATGAAACCGATTCTTAATAGTTTGTTTTAGTTAACAATAACTGATAAATTCTTCATATTATAATATAAAATATAATAATTATAATTAAAATATGAAAACTGTTTATTACAGTGTTTTTATTGGCGTTTTATTTTAAGAGTTTTTCCTTTTTTTTTTGTGCTGAAATATAACACTGGCGTGTTCTTGACAGGTTGTTATTCAAAAATAAGTTAAAATACAGCATATTTACATAGCAAATGCATAGCAGTTTTAACAGTTAAAATAATATCAGCAATGCTATATATATATATATATATATAATTTTTTTTTTTTAGTGCAACAAACTAGTTTTGTTTTGCCACAGCATACAACGAAATATAATAGTGCAAGTAATTTTAACAATTAAATGCAAAATAAAATGCATAAAATATAATATTTATTCAAAATATATTTAATTTTTTTCCTTTTGAATTTAATTTTTTGTGCATGACAAAAACTGTAGCTTTGTATTTTCACAGAATACAATAATAAATTATTCAAAACTAAGTCACAGTAATAGAGAAAATAGTTTTAGCAATTAAAGTATCAGCAGTGCAAAATAAATGCACATAATATATATTTCTACAAAATATATTTTTAATTTATTTTTAATGTGAAAAAATGTGTCACAGTATGCGATGAGAAACTGTTCAAAAATAACTGTAAAAATAATAGTGCCAAGAAGAAACCAATCCGATGTATATTTGACATTCAAGGCTTAATACTATAGAAAACCACTAAAGGTTTTTCAGTTAAGAGTGTTTTCAGCTTGTTTATTTTCATATAAAAACACGGCATGCAGTTGCATCAAACAATTATATTATTAAAAAAAAAAGTATTATATAAAATAATATTGCAAACATTTTTATTAATTAAAATAAAATCAGTAGTGCAAACTAAAATGCACAAAATATAATATTTATGCAAAATATGTTTTCTTTTTAATAAAAAAAAAATACAAATAGAACAAAGTAAAATCAGCAGCCCAAAATTAAGTTTAAAAAAATGTTTAAAGCTGTTTAAAGGCACAATATGGAAGATTTTTTTTATTAAAATATCCAAAAACCACTAGAACAGTGTTATATATTGTGTACTTGTGTACTTACATTATCCCAAATGTTTGGAAGCGTCAAAAAATAATTCAAATTTCGAATATTCGGCGAATTTAAAATAAAAATCCACATCCGAATGCAAAAACGTTGCATTCGAATTTTAGGTGTGCGTCAGGCAGTGATGCACGAAATGCGACGGCGATGTAAATGTCGTTGCATTTTAATGTTTTTGTTAGCCTATCCAGTTGAAGCCACTAGATGCGGCACTGCTGCGTTGTTCATTAAATATATAGCGGAAAAAGAGAACATCAATGCGGAGAAGATCTTGTTTACATCAAAACCGAAA